ATCTACAGAAGAATGCGAGTTAAAATACTCCAGCACAGTTAGGTGGCTATTGAGAATCACAGTCTGGTGAACAACTGATATTTGTATCTTGTTTGTCAAGGATAACATCAAGATTTAGTCGCATTACTATGAATGCAAGTCTTTATATTAGATATTATGCACATTTGCCCCTCCGCTTCCCCATTGAGTTTCTAACGAATATTTGCCTATTATTTTCAATTATTCTAGAACTCCGACTCATGTGAACTAAAAAAATCGTTGTTTTTTTTCTACGTTATGCTACAGTATCAGAATATCAATTTAGTCGGGGGTCGGGTTTGGGGGGGGGGGGGGGCTCGGTGGCCGAGTGGTCTAAGTAGTTACTACTGTAATCACTAGCCAGTCAACACTGAGGTTGTGAGTTCGAACCCCGCTCGTGCGGGTGCACGCGACTCCAATCTTAATTGACTAGGATTGTCAGTTTTCCTATCGAAGGTCGGTGGTTTTCTCCGGGCATTCCGGCTTCCTCCACCAATAAAAACTGGTGCTTAAAGGTGGCGTTAAAACACAAAAAATCAACCAATCAATCAATTCAGTCGGTTTTGTCAGTAGAGATACCGACTTGTTGCTTCATTTGCGTACCAACATTTTTAGTGCCGACAAAAGGATGACTGTGATGAAAAGTGACTTTGACGCGAAAATACTGCTAATAGTTTGGCCAAAAATATGGGAAAAGGATGCAAGGGTTTGCAATGTGAGAATTATATTAAATAAAAATGTTTGAAAAGTGAAGTTTAAGCATTCCTTTTGTACCACCTCTTCAGACCGAAAGCAATGAATTTCACTATATAGGTAAAAGGAAGACTTCGTATTGATACATGTACAATTAAAAATCTTAGCTCGTCCTTTTTTAAACTGATTGATTATTGGTCGATTTACGTCTAAAGCAAATATCTCCTGCATTTTTAAATGTCAAACATCTGAAATATGTTATATGGTGTTTTGAAGACATACACGAGGAAAATTGTTTGTTCCAATTGTTACTGGTAAATTTTTGAATTGCATTGTCTTGGTCCTGTTTGTGATTTTCTGTATTGATTTAACGTTTACATTCATGACTTTATATATTCATAGCCTAATTTATGACGCTATAATCTAGATTGGTACCCGGCCGTTATTGAAAATCTTGACAATACCGTCCGGTATGGGCTAATTTTACTTTTTGAAATGAACGATCTCGAGCATGCGCAGTTACGCATTGTTGTTCCTCTACGCCGTTAATATTTGTATATTCCGAAGGCATACTGAATATTTTATGGAGGGAACCAACCTACTATAGACAGGCTTCAAAAAAAATAAAGGTGGTGACCCATCTTTGCTGATCTGACAAAAGTTAAGCTTTCGATGTGTTTTATGTTCATTAATAAGATTAATATATCTTGCATCTCTTCAATATTTTACCACACGTTACAAATGAAAGGATCCAGCATATGAAATATACTGACTATAATCTTACTAATGGTAATATATTACATTATTCGTTTAGTATCGGCAATATAGGTTTCTTAAGATGAGTGAAAATAAATCTAACAGATGGGAGATATCAAATGATTTTAAGTATCAATAATTATGACAGATGCAATGATAAAGGATACGTCAATAACCACAATTCCTTTACAAGAAGATTATTTTAAATATGGAAAGGATAAAGATGTCAAAAGAATTAATTTACCATGACAATTTATATTTGTCGACAGTACACCGGTATACTAGTATACATTTGCAATTAAAAGTTTGTTATACCGTTTCGTTTTTGTGTAATGTGTTCTTGCGTCGCTCAAGTTCTTTCTATACTGGACAAATTTATTCAATCCATGCTATTAATGTTTGTATCCTTCAAACCTTATAGCAAAAACTCATTTAATCAGCTTTACGATAACTGAAAATAATCTGTCCGAACTCATTGGCCTTGGGTGGAAGAAGACCACCTTATAGGATATGATAAAAAAAAACTTGTCGGCAAAATGACGTTTAAGTTCGAATGTAATCACATTAAGAAAAACAGAGGATCTCCATGGTCATTGATATTTGAAAACTATTTCTATAATTAATGAGATTTTGAGAAATCATGTATAACACACAAACGTCATGTTTGTATTTTCCCTATTTCCAAAGAACATAACTCTGGAAGGATACTACACTATGTTAAATGTCTACCCGAATTTGGTTGTTCCTAGCTTTATAATGCTACTAATTATTCTTGAAGCATAGACAAGCTATTGAATCGAATCTGGAATATGTCTAATTTCTGCCTTTGGGACTTAGAATCTGTAATGTATCAAACTCGTCATGCGTTATGTTATTTTTATGATATTGAGCATAAACCTCGATTTGGTTATATTTATGAGACATTGCTGTTAGAGTAAAACGACATACTGTACATGATAGGTTTTCAATTCGAACTTATTTATTGAAACACAGTCAATTTATTGAACATAATTCCAAAATGGGTACTTATGTCATTAAGGGGCATTTTTCCTGCAATGACAAATATGATAGTTATGAATTCACTGTTGATGTGTAATAACCTTTTCCTAGCATTCTGATAACTTTCGAAGGATTTGGTCAAATATACGCACGTTTTAAGCAAAACCTTCAAATATTACAATTTTAATATTATTATTAATTAGTATAATGTTTATACGACGAATGTGAAATGTTTCAATGTTGGACCTTGTCTAGTGTTCAGTGCATACATTGTAGTTCCCATCATTGTGTTCAAACTTGAATTGAATCTGATTAAGTAGACTTAAGTTCAATTTGCAGTAAATTATAACTACAGAAAATCGAAAAAAATAATGCATTTATCTCGTTTATTTTTTTTTAATTATGAGTATATTAAAATTGATGTCAAATGATGTGCATTTGTACAGATTATACTTCAGATATACGCGTTAAGGATTGTCTTAACATTATCACCTCGCCAAAACCAATCCACTTATTTTTCTGTAAAAGCAGAAGGTTATTGTTGGATAAATATCCGATATGATATAAAATACTCAGGTTTATCGAATTCTTAAATTTTTAGTACATACATTTATTGTTGCGCAACGGTGATTTTCCCCTTTAAAATCAGCTAAATACTTGCATAGCTAGCCATTAAAGCTTAACATTATGTCATTGTCTTTGTTTCTTTGTACTATAGTCGTAGTCGTGATTCATTTGTCCGTGGGCAAATTATAGTCATATTTTATTCCAATGTGTTTAGTTTTTTTCAGAGGAGAAAACACTTTTGAAAATTTAAAGGCGAACGCATAATAGTAACAATCAATAGGTTACATTGAACCTGTCATACAGGTGATAAAAAAGTTAACTGTTTCTCATAAATTCCACTTATCGTATTTTTATATGTTTTGTACGTATATAAATTGACATTAATGCTATGTTTTCTTGTCAATTCATTCATTTGATAAATATTAATGATTTCTATATATATTTTTATCTGAAAACATTACTAGCTAACATTTCTGCGTGTGAAATCAAAGTTTAAGCTCATTATCAGAAATAAATCAAGGGAGATAATTTGTATCGAAGTTTATGTTAAGAAACTAATTAAACATTAGTATTTTTATATTCTTGGTTAATCAAAAACGTTTTTTTTATGGAAATAACCATTTAAGGAAAAATAACCTTGTTTAAGGGGTGACTGGTCTACTGGGATATGAAAAAAGCCCTCTTTTTCGGGTGACAATCAATATCACACGCCATCAATCTCGGTCTGTCCACTGTGTAGTACCTACTTATTCGTGTTTAACTTTGCTTATTTCTTTTCGCCCTAAACATGCATGAAACATTTGCCACTGGACGTTAACAGACTCCCTCAATCTCGATCTGTAAACTTTTGCAGTACCTAATCATTCGTGTATTGCCTATTTTTTTTCATCCTAACCATGTATTAAACATTTGCCACTGAACGTAGATTTTGAACTTTACCTTCTATATTATTTGAAATATTATTCAAATAAGGGGCAAACAATGCCTCGAGTCTTATCATCAATGACCTTTGCATACATACGCCCAAGATCGCTTCACGTAATAATGCAATTAGCAATGTACAAACTTCCAAAACGCATACTTTGGAAATCGTTGAGTGCTTGACATTTATTAAGCATGACATTCAGTTTCAGTCACATGTTTAACATTTTTTCGTGTTCTCTATAACCTACTTCTCAAATCAAAGCATTATTACTTCGCCTAGTATATAATCAAATAAACTATTGCTTTGTAAACTCTTATTAAATTATTTCAAATATATTACACGGCTGTTGTTAAGTCGTTTACAAACATGTAACTGGATTAACATTTTCAAATCAAAGCGATTGCCAATTAAGAAGATGCATTCAGCGTTTTCTTCACCTACAAAATCTTTACAAAAATAACATGATTATCTCGAATGCTTTATGGCTCTGTTTATTGTAATTTGGTGCAAGCATGCATTACGCGATGCGGTTGTTTCTGTATAACAAAACTGTGCCTATAGCTTTCAGTACAGACACATTGTCTTGTGTACCACTTATACTTGAGCAATGATCAGATAACCGATCGCTGTTATTATATATTATATATACATGTAAATGAAAGATAAACTTAACGCACTATATATTTGATAAATGTATCATATTTAATAAAAGTAATCCAAACGAAATAAAGGTTCAAAGATAAAATAAGTTTCGTAAATAAATTTTACTTTTGTTAAGTGATCAAAAACTTCTGACAATTTATTTTTCATTTGTAAACACATTGCTTGTATAACACATTTTTCTGGTAAGTTGCAATGATATAAAAAGTATTTAATCATGCATAAAGGGAGGTGAACTTTACATTAAATAATTTCGGTACATATAAACTCTATATATTTATTTATTCCTTTTAATAATATTTTGACAACCTATTTTCAATGCACTGTACAGATCAGTACACAATTTCTGTTCATAAAATAAATGTTATTTTCAGAGACTTACCTTTCATAAGGTGAAGTAATAAAACTATTCCCAAACGAACATAAATGTTTTTATGAATTATTACTCCTATTTCCATGTCGTTGGTTAAATCCATCGAAAAAAATGTTTGTCGCCATATGACAACATTGATTAACACTTTATAAGATCAAACGCAACAAAAGTAAAATTAGTAGATAGTCATATTCATCAAAACTAATGACACATAAGCATCCTAGTCGTTATACGTCACACTTCTACTGAGAAATATTACAGGGACATTTTATAGTCGTAGAACTTCATTGATTAATTTAAATCCTTGCTTCATGGTGGATGGACTTCACGTTTTTATATTAAAACTTCATAGCTTATAAATTAATGATGACTCATTTTTGACTTGTCGATGAATCTGCAAATTAAAAGAATAAAAGCATTAATTAGCAAATATGAAGTTATCAGGGATGATCGGATATTTTCTCCTTATTTGCATATCAGAATAGGCTATTGTTACAATGATTCATATTGAAACATGGCATTGTTGAGTCAACCTGGCATTGTCCAATACATGTCAGCTGCAATCATAATTAAACAATAGATATTTGGTTATGAACAATTTTGATCAATTGGTTGAAATTAATATTGATAACTGATAGACAGTAGCTAGCTGTTCTTTACAAATCTCGATACTATTGCTATATCAAATATTTATTTCCGGAAATTACAGGAACACAATCCTTTTCATTAGTGAGCCTTTCACTGAACAGTACGCTACTGATTTTACTTAGTAATATCAGGATAAATTCTATATCCGAGTCTACGTTTCATCAGCAGCCATAGTTCATGACAATACATTCAATTCAATTGTGATAAATAAAAAATATATTACATAACTATAATGACAATACAGTCACTGTGGCTTGTAAACTTGGTTTTCGATAAAGTTTGAATATACAGTAAAGTCTGCTTTAGAGACCACGTGTAGTAAGCAAAATCCTGTGTTATAAGACCATTAATTTTAGGTCTCTCTATAGTGCACTTCATATATATTGAACCTGTATTAAAAGACCAACTGTCTTATGAGACCGCTTTTTTTTTATCCTTCCCTTAAGTGGTCTCTTAAAAAAACAGGTTTCGTTGTATCATACGTTTGTACTAACATTTGTTGTAATTTATAAGACGCGACATTGCATAGTTATTCTTTGCATCTGTATACTATTGCCGAGAAATACAATTTTTAAGACACCCATTAAGTTAACCTTGATGTAACCTTGACTATAATTTATTCAACTTTAATGTTTGAGCAAATTTGCGGAATAAAAAAAATACAATTCACACGTTTTGATTGTCACATAAACATGCAAATTATTAGTAGAATTAAGTTTTTACAATAGGCAAAAATCTTTAAATTATTGACTTCCTTTCATTCATTTTTCTGTTTCTATCAAAAGCAAAACATAAATATTAGTGTTGTGCGATGTTTATGACTTATACTTGTGCATTTTATAATAAATTATTGTTTAATATTATTGAAAACGTCGTAAAGTTACTTCAGGTTCTTTTTATTCGTTTTATTTTCAGTTTTGTTTTAATTCATGCCATTTTAAAGATAATAAAGACTCGGATTGAATACATTTTGTATAATAGAACTTTTTTTCAATAATAATTTATGTCTTCAGGTTTCACAATTGATAATAAATATACAAGTTGCCGTGATAATCATTCTTTCTGGAAAGGGAAGAATTGTAATACTGGTAATATGATATGTTTTAGTTACATGTTTTAAAAATAATTATCTTTACTAAGTTTCAATTTAATTCTATGCCTAGTTCACACGTACATTTAATTCGAATTGAATTCGATTCAAATGCGAATCGAATTCGCTAATCGCGTTCACACACTCTTCCTTTTTAATTCGAATTGATTCAAATTGGCTAATTCGCATTAGAAATCCGTTTTTGCTGATACGAATTAAAAGTTAACGTCGTTCGGATGTAGTAATGCAAATTTGACGCGTATTGCAATTCGAATTAGAATTAACGTTTGGACGCAAAACGATTCGAATGCGAATTAAACTAATTCGAATTAGTTAATACGAATCGAATTCGAATTACGTGTGAACGCAGCATTAAAAATCTAATCCACTCGCAATAAAAGGAACACAACATCATTTATTATTAATTATTAAAACAGATTGGGAAATGTATAGTGACTGTCGTAATCTTTAGTTGGTATTTCAATTTGCACTACTGTCTTTCAAAGACCTAAAACGAAATAAAATCAAAATACACATCCAAAGGATCAAGTTTTCCCCCAAATACCCTGAAATCTAAAATATATATATTGTGTTAATAGGCAACTTATTCATCTAAAATCTGTCTAGTACATCAGCACTGATTACTATCCTGTCAACACTGTGGTTGGGAGTTCGAACCCCGCTCGCGTCAAGGTGTCTTGGACTCCGACTTTTATTGACTGTGCTTGCCAATTTTCTGTCGACGGGATCTGGTTCTCTCCGAGTAATTCTGCTTCATTCACCAATAAAAACCGACCGCCATGACAGTGTCAAAAGTGCTGAAAGTGGCGTTAAAACACTAACAATCAATCAATCAAGTTATAAATTGAAGGAAACTACTATTATTTGATATGACCTAACCTAGAAAGGAAGACTTTCCAATTTATTTTCGTTTCAGCTGCATTGATGCTTATACAAAATGATTACTTTACCAACCGGAGCTGTTAAATTTCAGTGATACATTTGTAACATTCTAAATGATTACATTATGAAATCTCCACAACATTACATATTCATTTTTAGAAGATATATGTAGTCATTAATCTTGCTAATTATACGTTACGAACATTCGTGAAATGGTTAACGAATGAATGCAAAATAATTTATTTTTAATGTCTACACAAAGTGCATCTTGACACGATGCCCCTTAAAGAAATTTGGAAAAATCAGATAATCAGATAAGCGAAAAAACTTATTAATTTCATTTTTTTCCAGCACGTTCATACAGATAAAGATAATAAGCAGAAATGCTGTTGTATATTTCATTTTTTCAGTTTGACAGTTAATCATACTCACGTCAAAATATTAACAAAGGTCAGAGGTGAGTATTCCAAAAATTGCAAATATCACTAATGTACAAGAGAAAAACGGTTATTAATGACATGACTATGATAACAATTCTTTACAGTGCTCTCTCTTTTTGTCGTATCTAAGGATGATATTTCCCCAGGAACCCTAGGGATCTTAAACCCTTTTGGCATTCTTTGTAGCCCTTTATTGGTCATGGTGTATGTATTTGCTTTTTTTAGGTTTTTTGGTTTTAAGCTGATTAATTTTAGTATTCCAGAGGCGAGAATTAAAACAAGTATCGTACGTTTATATGAAAGTTATTTTTTGCACATGTTGAATTAGACCAGTATAATTAGCAGTAACTGGTCGTTGAAAAGCTTACATTTAATATTACGTCAAACATTGTTATTCTTTCAAAACATTATTTTACCAGATTTGTTTTAGATTAAAGTTTGCTGAAGCAAAGAGACAATAGTTAATTAAAACCCGTTTAGCATCAGTTCTGATAATAAACTTTCATCCTGCAGACAAACTATTATATAAATGGAGAAGTATTAGTGCGATCGCACTGTACAACATATTCGGATTTATAAAATGACTTTGAACTTCGAAAACTCACTATTTTTATATATATATATATATATGATTTACAGACTTGTATAACACTTTCTGGATTTCTGTTACAATAAGTTATTGAATAAGAACACCTTTCTTCAATCATTTTGAGTTGTCTTGCATCTAAGCCCAAGAATTTGCATCAAAATGATGTTGAATAAAAAGTAAACTTATCTCCTGCACCACTTAGAAAACACTATATTTTCAAATTAAACTGTCACATCAATTATATTATGTTAGTTCACAGATACCACATGGTTTATCTCTCAGTTTATAGGTGACAATTTTTGCAAGAAGGGATAAAAATGAAGTACACAATACCAATCAAAAATGTTTTTTTTTTCATTATATGTGATTTTCATTTTTTTACAAAATTTAATTTTTATTTTAAAAACAATATTTAAAAATAATTAGGTTTTCAAATAAATCTTGAAAGTCAGGATAAATAGCATCAAAGAATATTTCCAAAATTAAAATTAAAACACAAAAAAATAAAAAAGGGGGTGTTAACCCCAACAAGTGCCTGTGCATTTTCCTTAAACTTTTAAAGTTTAACAATTTTGTGTTTTAAACATCTGTTTCTTAAGTAATATTATCTGTCATCCATCATACGGTAAATTAGGTGGCCATCTGAAACACTGATGCATATCGATACTGCTACCCCGTATTTAATGATATGCATACACCTTCTTAAACGATAGAAAGGCTCAATAACCTGCGTCGCCTGTTTGGTTTTTTTTAATTTTTGTTTGTTTTAGTATAGTTCCTAGACTCTCTGAACGGTATGACTGAAAAATGAGGGTATGCTGCCAAATTAAGCGCACATGACGTGTATTTCTTGAATTATCTCATTAGACAGCATTGCACTGGGAAACGACCAGTAAATGAATAGAGTGTAAAGAAACATAAAAACCGATGGGCTTAAACAGATCACCAAAGACAAACAGATTAATGTTGATTTGGATGACGCATTTACACAATTTAATACAATAAAAATATATCGTGTAAATCATGACAGTTTGGACGCCTTGCTCCCAGTTTTAGACAGGTGGTAAATACGAGTATTGTTAACCGGTCTCAGTTGAAGTACTGTTAACGTATAAATACACACCAAAGATACTAGGTTTGTGATTAAGTCTACACTAAGACTCATCATGGGCGCTCGAATAAAAGCAGATGGAAGGTCAAACCATTTACAATTGTTGCAAAAACTTGTATCATATGTTTACAACCATATATAAAATATGAAGAATAAAAGAAGGTTTAAATCTAACGCGCTTGCATTTCAGAAACTCTCTAAATATCGTATAAAGTAATGTATCTTCCAGGTTTTCAGCACGTTACATTATCCCCCAAAATCAGATCATAAATTAAAAATAACAGTGTTGTATTTTGAATGTTCGTTTCGTTTTCTCACATTAAGAGTTTCGCAAGATGAATCATTCCTTACAGATAATAGATTTTAATCCCGTTAACTTTTTGACTTCTTGTCCTCTGGCATTTTTCATCTCATTTTAAACATCCCGTGCACACCATACAATATGAGTGCAAAATACTTAATTTAAACGTTATTACGTAAACGATTTACAATCTTTCTTCAGTAAATCTTGTGAATTAAACAGATTATACAAAGAAGTAAATTATTTGAATTAGAAGCTTATAAATTCAACGCTACTAAGTGTTGAATCATTTTCACATCCTGTGAAAGCAATTTTTGAACCAGATAAAGAATA